TTTACTACCTATACGGATTGTAAAAAAAAGTATATTCAATTATAATATGAATTTAATATAATTAGTTTCATCTTAGGATATAGTTTCGATATATCAAATTTTTATACCATTTATTTATTTAGATTATGCTTAATTTGTGATCAAAGAATGTCACCGTTTGATTGAAAAAAATTAAAACATAAAGAATTTTCAAGGACAAAGGGAATATATGATATGGAGTATATTATCTCAGTGTCTTAAAAGCTTATGCCTGTTGCAGGGTAAATTTTATACGGAGTATATGAATGTATTTTAACTGTTAGATATGTTAGATAACAACAACAATAACTGCAATAATAGTAATAGTAATAGTAATAATAATAATAATAATAATGGCAGTATCAATTATGATAGTCTTTGTATTTTTAGACAGTTTCTATATTGATTCTTCTTTCTAGTTCGATTATAATCTTCATATACATGCATGCTGTGTCATGCATTCCTTTGTTCCCTGGTAATTTAATTATTCTATTATTTAATATCGTATCGGAGCTAAGGTGATCTCTCTTCTAAAAACCTAGCCTCCCATCTTTTACGACTGTTTGCCACCACCGATCTTCATTATCGATGGTCGATCGCAATAGATCATGACCCCGTCATCCATTATCCCTCACTTCTCTAAAGAAAAAAATATTATGAGCATGCCTAACAGCTCATGTCCTTTATTTGTCTTTCTCTATAAAAAAAGTGCGTGTGCGTGATTGAAGAGTTGCAAAGCTACATTTGTCTGTGTTTGTTCTAGAGTTTGAGAACATGCAAAGCGATAGAGAAGCAGAGAATGGTGTAAAAGGAGAAAAAAGATACTTTTCATTAACCAATAATATGGTAATATGTTTTTTCCAAAATAAAATTACAAAACTTATGAAATTGCACAATAAATTATTCTACAAAATGGAACTAATTTATTATTTAAAAATAATAATTAGTGCCATTATAGAAAAAAACACTTAAATCTGATATTAGTATAAAATAAATTTTATAAAAGACATTAAAATTTAAAATTAAGAATTTAAAAATGAAAAAAGAGAATCTGGTAATAATTCTTTTCTCCAAAATAATGTTACAAAAGTTGTGAGATTGCACAATAAATTATTCTACAAAATGGAACTAATTTATTTACTCAATCTTAAATATAGCATGTATATATTTAATATTAATTGTGTAATCATTGTATACATGGTAGTTTCCTTGTATAGGTTTCCTTCCGTAGTTAGGATTCTGCTGTAATTATTTATACGAGGCTTAGCCCTCCGTTGTTATTCATAGAAAATAATAATTCTTCACGGTATCAGAGCCTTCGTTCCTCTCTCTCTCTCTCGTTCGACCTAGCACCGCTGCCAACTCTAGCAGCGCCGCCCCTTCTCCCTCTCTCGGCTGAACAACAACCAAGACCGCCAGCATCCTTCACCGGCGACTCCCCCTGCACGGCACCTCTCTCTCTCACGGCAGGACTCTCCTCTTTCCTTCGGTCATAATGTCCAAGAAAACTTCTGTCACCGGCACGCCATCATATTCGCCAACTCCCCACTTGGCGTTCACGACTATCTCCAACGTGAAGCTCCATGTGTCAATCCTTCTCAGCTTCTCCGAGCCAAATTACAAAAAGTGCAGTGGAGCCGGCTCTTCCTCCTTCTCATCCGGCGATTCTCTTAGGGTGATTTCCTCACCGGCAAGTCATCTCCGTCTAGCGCCGACGACGCCGAATCGTTCCAACTTGACGCACTTATATTCAAGGTTGGATCCTATCCACGACAAATGATGAAGTTTGTGATCTCGTCATCTCCACCACCAATTCGGATTCAGAACTTTGGCAATCCATCTACAATCTTTTTCATGACAACAAAGCAGCCCGGGCGATGCAACTTGAGCACCAATTCCGCACAACAACGAAGGGTTCTCTCTCCATGGCCGTCTATTGCCAAACCCTACGAAACCTAGTGGATTGGTTGGATGATGTGGACACCTCCGTCTCCGAACAACAACTCGTTCTATAAGTTCTTCGTGGTCTTAGCTTCTGGACGATCTTCGGGCCCAAACACCATTTCTTCAATATCAAACGCTGCCCCCGACTTTTCTCCAAACCCGTGCGGCCCTACTTTTAATTGAACAACAATGGGCTTATTTAATTTGGGTGTCGGCGGCGTCGCGGAGGATGGTGGCGTCCACGTCCCCCGTATCACTCCGATACCATATTGAATAAAAAACAACTGAACAATTGTTCATCAAGAAAATAAGAATACATGAGAGAGTATTTATAGAGAGAATACATTCCTAACTAAAACTAAGAAACAGAAATAGAAACGGACTAAAATACAAAGTCTACCATAATTAATAATATCCTAATTAATTACTCCCTCCGTCCATGTAAGATCTTCTCATTACGCGTTACGAGACTTGACCGACTTTATTTTCAATTCAATTTAATTGATTATAGGAGTAAAATTTTAAAATAAAATTTATATAGTAATAAACTACCTGAAAAGTTCTACAAAACTAGAGGTGACAAGACTATATTATTTTATGATATGACTACTAAAAATGAGCAAACAAAGTGAGTAAAGTTTGACCCTATGAATAGTGTCTGGAAAGATTTATGGTGGACAGAGAGAGTATCTAACGAAGGGTATACAAAGATTGTATCCTACTTTGTACAACAATTGTGTAACAAACACCTAGACAAAGGGAAATTTACTTAAATAGAACTAAAACATAATGACTTTCTCTAAATAATATGTATCATATGTGTTTTGTTCTCAATGTAGCACTTTTAGTCATAATCTATTAGTCATTATTCAAGTAAATATTCACCGCCACGGGATATTATTCCTCTTTCTGGATATTATTAAGTGTTATTTAGGGAATAAAATAATTTAAGTGCTATTTAGGAAAATGGATTAAATTTTAGTACTCCCTCCGTCCCATAAAGTCAGTCCCGTTTCAAAAAAATTGCATCCTTTAAAGTTTAAAGTCATTCACATTTATATTAAAAAACCACTTTTACCCCTTACTTTTTCATACCCTACCTATCACATCATACTTTTTTCCTTATAATCTACACATGACCTTCTACTTTTACCCATCAAAGTAAAATAGTTTCCATACTTGTAGTAGATTTTGATCATATCATTACTGTTTTTAATTTAGATACTCCCTCCATCCCAATTTATTTGCAACACTTCGAACGACGTGCAAAATATCATCTTTTTGAAAATTACTTTAATTTCAAATTGGTAGAGTAATAAAAAGTAAAAATTACATCATTCAAAAGTATATGAAAAGTTCTACAAAATAAGATGCGACAAGAATATTTTATTTTATCAAATGGTCAACCAAAACGAGTAAACAAACAAAAGTTATCGAGAGACCATAATAGTAAACGTGGCATTCTTTCTGGGACGGAGGGAGTATATGAAATCTATAATGTAAAAGTGTAACAATTGCAAGTTCGGATAAAATCGGCATTAGTGTAGTTTGTAAAATTGGATGACTTGTATTATATTTAATTTTTCAATTACAATCACAATTAGAATGATGATATTCAGATTTGTATAACATTTGTCAGGATATAATGTGTGTGTTTTTATTTTGAAAATTGGACATGAATTTGAAATTATGAGTGTTTCATCTTTTTGATTTAAGAACTATATCCATACCTCTTTATGAGGCTTAAAGATAAAAATAGGTCACACATTATTACTCCTTCTAAACATTATTAAATGCTGTATAAAGATAATAAAACAGTTTAAGTGTTATTTGGAGAAATAATTTAAGTTTTAATGCTATTTAGCGCAAATATTTCTTAATAATATCCTAATTATTTATCTAACGAAGGGTATACAAAGAATTTATCGTACTTTGTATTCCCTCTGTCTCAAAAAGATTGGTACATATTGACTTTTTGGAAAATTAAGGGAGAGATATTTTGGTATTGACTTTCCAAAAATACCCTTGATGTGATGGGTAAAAGTAGGATGTGATGGGTAGATTATTAGGAAAAAGGTATGATGTGATAGGTAGAGTATGAAAAAGTAAGGGGTAAAAGTGGTTTTTTAATTGAAATGTAACGAACTTTACAGGATGTAGTTTTTTCGAAACGTGTCGGACTTTTTGGGACGGGGAGAGTATAACAATTGTGTAACAAACACCAACACAAATACAGAGTATTAAATGTCTGCAAGTAATTAGGAAAATATAGTGAATGGGATGGGACGTACTGATATAATGATATATAGATAGAGAAGGAAGAGAGATGATTAAAACTTTCTATTTCTTGGCCCGGTAGGGAAAGTGGTTCAATCCTCCTAGGGATGGAGAACATGCCTCTTTTTTGCATGGTGATAAACACTACGTACTATAGCCTCTGGTACACATATTTAATTATTTGGTCCTTACTTCCACTTGTCTCCATACAATCATTCACCCCAATAAGAGTAAAACTTTTACATGGGGATTTTGAAAAGTAAAATATTGGATGGTTAAAATTAATTATCTCTATCCCAGTGTATTTGTTCAGAGAGTAATTTACTAGTACATAAATAGGACTAACACATAATGACTTACTCAATATTGGACCATATGTTTTTATTTCCTAATGTAAGACCATTAGTCATTATCTATTAGTCATTATTCAACTAAATGATCAACATCACTTGGACATTATTCTTCTCACTAGTCATTATTAAGTCCTATTTAAAGAATAAAAAAATTTTAAGTCCTACATTGGAAAATGACTTATGTTTTAGTCATATTTAATACAAATTTCATTTGTTCAAAAAGTGTCCACACAAGCAAATTTGTTCAACTTTTTTTTTAAAACTCTTTTTAAAAAAACAATAATCAAAATTAAACTCTCATCGGCCGCATGCATATAAACCCCCGAGGATAAGCCATCATCGCAACTCCACAAATCTTTTTCTCTGTCAAGTAATAAGCATTATCCATTATGGCCTCCCTTGTGTCAGCAAACAACAAAAAATCATCTTTCTCCAAACTACATATATACTCACAACCATTCTTTCTCTTGTTGTGTTGTTGCTCAGCTCCTCCAACACACAAGCCTAGCCCTGTCTCCTCTGAACATCGCCTCATTCCCGGCGCTGTATCCCAAGGCGCCGTTTGCCTTGGCGGCAGCCCTGCCGCCTATGATTGGGACGCCGGAAAAGGCCAAGCAGGGGCGACCAATTGGCTCGTTTTCCTCCAAGGATCCGGATGATGGTGCTTGAACACCACCGCCCATCGCATTCCTGATTATGGCACCGTCCAAAGCTGTGCGGAACGGGCAAACACCCACCCACCTTGGCTCTTCCCACCGCATGCATCCTTTGAATTTCCCTCACTCCAGTGACACATATTTTTACGACTGGAACCGTGTGGTGGTGAGGTCTTGTGAGGGCGGATCATTCTCCGGCGACGCCAACAAGCCCGATCCTGTCACGGGCCTTCACTACAGGGGCGCGAGGGTTTTCCGCGCTGTCGTGGAGGACTTAATGGCGAGGGGGTTGAAAAATGCCCGTAATGTCCTCCTCGCTGGGGGTTCGTCGGGCGGGCTCGGGGTCATGGTGCACTGTGACCGCTTCCGCCGCCTCTTCTCGGGGAACACGAGGGTGAAGTGCTACGCCGACAGCTCTCTCTTCCTTCGCGTCAGAGACCCCCACCGCGCGAAGTTTTTCAACGACGCCCTTGGCAACGTTGTGGGTGTGCACCGTCCGGACAACGCGTTGCCCGGACGGTGCACTTCGAGGCTAGGCGCGACGGCGTGTTTCTTCCCGCAGAACCTGGTGCGGTATATCGAATCGTCGTTCTTCATTTTGAACTCGGCGTTCCACTCGTTCCAGGTGAGGAACACGTTTTCGGAGGCCTTGCACGACAATGTCATACACCACAACGTTAGCCGGAGCGACTTGGCACTCCTCCGAGACTTCCGGGGCCAAACAATCGGAGCCCTGCCACCGCCAAGCGGAACGAAGGGGTACCTAATAACATCCCTCTTCATGCACAGTCTCGGTACGGTGCAAGGCTTCAAAGGGCCAATGTTTCCAGGGCAAAAGTCAAAGTCTTTTGAGAATGTGTTGGTCGATTGGTTTTTCGACCGAGCGACCAATGTCCATCTCATAGACCCCGCGAAACAGCCCTTTTATTGAACAGCCAGCCCTGTGGAGTTGTGGAGATGACATCAACTTAAATAAATGATTTTAATTAGTTGATGTGAATAATGTGTCATTAGCAATTTGTCGTTAAAGAAATCACCTTAAATAGGACTAAAACATAGAGAAAAGTACCAAAATAGGACTTCCCTGTTTTTTTTCCCGAAATAGGACTTTGCACTGTGGCAATGTGACTTTGCCCTGTTGTAATGTGGCAGTGTACATGTGCAAATTACTATACTTGTTTGGTAATGTATATGACCATGTATGGTAATGTAAGTCCTATTTCCGGAATAAAAACATGGAAGTCCTATTTTGGTATATTTTCAATGTTTTAGTCCTAGTTTGGTCTTTCTCCCCTTGTCGTTAACTACTACTTAATGAATATTATTGAGCTCATGTGTTCTTAATTAATCTCCTCTTTTCTCAATTATTGTATGATTAAGTTTTTGTTCCCGAACACGTCATGGGGCTCTATATCTAATCTTTCTTGTGGGATTCATTGATATGTTCCTTGCCCTCCATTCTAATCAATAGTAAAAAATTAAAACAATTACCATTAATTTTCTATAAAAAAATTACTCATTGTTTCATTGAAGTCTGTATAAATTTACTCCTAAATTTTATTGAGATTTGATAATAGAGCACATGGAAAAAGTTTGACGTACAAAAAAAGATATCTTAATTTTCTTATTATAGTCAATTACTTACTCCTTACGTTTCACAGTATCTTTTTTGGCCAAAATAAGTAAATATTGACTCCAAATTAAATAAAAATGATACTCCGAGACATTAGATATTGATACACAAATAGTTTTAATGGATTTATTATATCAAATATGTTTGAAATATTATTTTATCTAATGAATATATAATATACTCACTCCGTTCCACAAAACCATTCGCATTTTGACTTTGGGTAAAAATAAGGAAAGTGTAATTTTGGTTGACCTTCCAATTTTACCCCTGATGTGGTGGGAAAAAGTAAGATGTCATAGTTTGGTTATTAGTGAAAAAGTATAATGTGATAGGTAGGGTATGAAAGAGTAGGGGTAAAAGTGGTTTTTTAATAGAAAGTGGAAGTGTTTTGTGGAAAGCAAAAAAAACGAAAAGGTAAGGATTTTGTGGAACGGAGGAAGTATATTTTATGTAATTATAGATAAAAAATTAAGAATGATCGATCGAAAAAATCAAAATTAGATAAATACTCTATAACGAATTACCATTTCTTTCTTTTACCCAACTCACACTTTAATAACTTAGCCCAACCATTTCTTTCTTTTACCTAACTTACACTTTAATGACTTAGCCCAAAATAGATAGGGACACAGGGAGGCAGCAGAAAAAGATGACTTGGGAAGAAAATAGTCACATTTAGCAAAGAGGTGTCTAAATCCATATTGGGGCTTTTAATTACTTGCCCTGCCAATGCATTAATTTCTCCATTTGCCTTGATCAATTTTTTGAGTTAAAGACCAAAGTAGGACTAAAACAATGAAAATATACCAAGATAGGACTTCCATGTTTTTATTCCCGAAATAGGATTTACATTACCAAACATGGTCATATACATTACCAAAAAAGTATAGTAATTTGCACATGTACACTGCCACATTACCACAATGCATAGTCTTATTCCGGGAAAAAAACATGAAAGTCCTATTTTGGTACTTTTCTCTATGTTTTAGTCCTATTTAAGATGATTTCTACAACTTTTTCCTCTTTCGATTCTTTCATTATTTTCCTCCCAAAAGAAAAAAAAACTCATTGTTTCCTTGTACGCTTATCCAAACATTGAATGCATTTTAAAGAAGGAAAGAAAATAAATATGATGTGGAAGAATAAAATGGGTACTCCATTAAACGGGTCCTCGTCGTCGGAGTTGTCGAGGTTGAAGGGAGACCTTTGTTCCGAAGAGCCGATAGTCTCATCGGACTCAACCTCGACGGGGATCTTTTCTTTGACGATCCGGCCTCGGGATTGTTGAGTTAGGACTAGCGTTTTCAAAGTTAATCTGCACCGTTAAAATTTTATTCAAAACGCTCAAGCTAATCGAACATGCTAGTCCCAAATAAACGGGTCTACCACAGGCCACAGCAATATATAGTTCGAATTTTAGAAGGCTCCGAGCATACCAAATTGTACACCAATTTACCACCATTTAATTTCTTTTCTTACCATACATTTCTTGGTGTTGATAAAAAATAGTGAGTGAATAAGATATATTTGATGTTGGAGTATTTATTTATTGTACAACCTCAAAGAAGTTCCCAATACTAGCTCTAGTTTTTGAGTAATGTTAGAGTCACAAACAAACCGTTCACAAAATTCATAAACTTACCTTTTTAACATTTTTCTAGAAATAAGATGCACTCAAATAATAAAGAATGTTTTAATTTTAAATCCAGAAAAAGCAAGTTTGTGAAGTTTGTGAACTATATGTTTGTGACTTTAACATGAGAGAAGTAGAACCACATTTTGTTTTTAACATTTATATCATCACAAAATATGTTATATGCTGAGAAAGACCTCTTCATAGCACAACTCATAACATTTACAAAATGGTTTCGGGTCACACTCAGTTACCATTCCATGCAATCAATAATAATAATAATAATAATAATGTGAAAAGAGCTATTTTTGTTGGAATATTTGATTAATTAATTAAAAAGAAAGAAAAAAAAATCACAAAGAAGACAAAGAAGATCAAAAGTGGGATATTTGATTGACTTGGTGCATGTCATCAAATCAAAGAGGATTTTTTGGTTTCTTGACTCCTCAAGCCATGCAAGCATACGGAGTTTTTTTTGTTATAAAAGTAAGGCAATATGTGGGTGGGCAATATACACACACTAAGAGAGAGAAGGAGGGTTTAGAGAAAGGTGCTACACAAGATATCACCAGAATTGTGTGAGTGAGTGTAGAGAGTAACTGGTTTTAGTTACTCAGAAAAATACATCCAGGTGTAGGGTGTGAAAAGTTTGTTTATAAGTGTCTGGTATTTAGCGCTTGTAAACAGGGGAGAGTTTTTTGTTTATCGTTCTGAAATAGTGAAGATATAATTTTTCTCTCATATTTTCTTCTTGTGTAGTGAGTTTATTTATTTTTCACGTTCTTGATATTTTAAGAGTCTTACGCGCTTAAAATCCCAACAATTTTCACAAACACCATTATGATCTGGTTACGAATAACCCTTTCCCTGCTCTCAAAAAAATAAAAGTATACTTCATTATTTGATAATCACGAATTTTAAAAAAAAGTGAAGTTATGAGGCGAGAGTTTAATTTATGAAGAGGGAGATAAAAGAACAAGGAACAAACCCATGAGCACACTAAGAGCATTTACAATGGCAAGTAAGAAATAAAATGACACACGGTGACATGGAAAGTTTCAACCAATAAAAAACAATCCAGTCAGCGTGTGGCATGAGAGTGGAGTGGCATGTTATGCAGTGGCAAGTCATTGTTTTTATCAATTTTACTTTTTTTACACATTTTAATTATTTAAATTTATTTTATTTATATTTTTTTCATATAAAAAAATAAAAATATTCCAAAATTATTTAAATTATTTAAATTTATTTTGTTTATATTTTTATAAACTATACTCTTCTTAAAAATATTTCTTATTTAAAAAAATAAACTTAAAAAATAAAAGATTTAGGTTTTTTTCAAATTTTACATATCTTACATATTTCTTATTTTTACTACAGAGTATTAAAAATAAATTTACTTAGGTGTTTTCCAAAAAAAATACTTCTACTTTTTAAAAATCTTTTATTTTATGGAAGAAAAAAGAAAGAATTCAAGAAATAGTTGCCTCACCCATGACTTGCCAAGCATGGCAATTCTCTTCATCCACGCGAGGCAATTCTCTTCCTTTGCTTAGGTGGCAGGCATGGCAGTGGCACAGCCACGCCACTGCCAAGGCTCTAAGTATTCCTTCGATGTCAATTTGGATTACAAATTAGGAGTTATGGGGAAAAATCTTTCATCTTTTGAAATTGGTGTTTAACATCCCCGTGCGTTTAAAATACACAAATATGAAAGAGTTACTAGATTGGTTCACAAAACACTATAGTTGAATCACATTAAAAGATTGAATCCAATTGATTAATTACTTCTACTCAAGATCTTATATGTCTATTATTTTCTTCTCATTTTTCCAATGTGGGATATTCTTTAATATTTTTAATGGGTGTTTGGTTTTATTTTTCTTTAAAAAAACTCAAATTCAAATGTTATGCATTATGATGCACGTTGAAGCATGGGTAAAAAAGTCACTTCAAATTTCTCGAGATTTCTACTACTTGAGTTTTTATATCTGTAATTAATTAGAGGTATGAGGCTGAGCAGGAAGAGACTATAATTGTTTTGGGGAATGGGCTGTAAGAGGACAATAATGAAAGAATTGAAAGAGGAAACAGTTGAGAAGATGAATAAATGCATTTAAAGCTCTTTGCAAATGGGGATGTTTTCTTCCATTCTCACTTTTTCTGCAGCATATCTGTGCCCTGTCTATTTTGTGCTAAGTTAATGAAGTGTATGTTGGGCAAAAGAAAGAGTCAAGGAACCAACTCAACCAACAGCCCAAGACGAGTTATTTATATTCTAACACGTCCTCTCACGTGCAGGCGTAATTTTTTTTTCGAGCCTTGCACGTGAAACTTTAATTTCCTCAAAACTGGGTGGCGCTAAGTTTCGAACCCGTGACCTCTTAGTCAACAAGGCTTCGATACCATGTCAAGGAACCAACTCAACCAAAAGCTCAAGCTTATGGTTGCGGCTCAGGAAAGGTTATTTATGTTCTAAGAGAAAGAAGTCAAAGAACTAATTTGTGGTGTAAAGAAATTCATGTGATTTTTTTCTTTTTTTACGTTGAACTTTTTTCATATGCTCCATTATCAACTCAAATTAGGAGTAAATTTATATGTTTGTTGCCATTGTGCGATTAAGAGCACCGGAAATGGTGCTAAAGCCCACAGGCGTTAAGGGTATTTTAACGCACGAGGACGTTAAACGCCGCCCCACTTTACCGTCATCCGGGCGTTAAAGGTTTGACGCATCGCCTCTCCCTCCCCCAACGGCCATAATTTGGATCGTTGGACATTAATTTTAAAAAATAATATTTTGAACGAATACTATAAATGCCCCTTATTTGTAACACAACTAACAAACACAAACAACTTATTCTCATTCTCTTCATAATTCATCTAAAATATATTCTATTTATTTTAATTTTCTCTACGAATTATTCAAAAAATGGGATTATCATCTGACAATGAAAAGAGAGCTTTCATTTTTCGTTATCAATGGTGGCAACAAGACCAATGAAAAGATATTTTTAGTCGCTCGAATAATCACTAATTTCTTAGAAATGTAATGTAAATTTTTTATTTATGTTGTTATTATTCAAATCTTATTATATTAATGTAATTTTCATTGAATGTAATTTTTTTTATTTAATGAGTTGTTGTCATTTAGATTAAATTAAATAATGAAATCTTATTAATTTAATTTTAGAAGACGTGTATTAAAAAATATAAAAAATAGAGGTTTGAAGCCCTAGTTTGAAGCCCCCGGACTTCAAACGCATTTCCAGTGAAGGTGTAAGTTAAAGCTGATGTGGTAAAGAGAGAAAGTTTGAAGCCTCAGAGCTTCATCACGACCATTTCCAGTGCTCTAATAAGAAGACAAGGGATGCCCGAAAAATAACAGTGTGATTTCAAACAATCAGAGATGGATACACAAGGATGTAAGCTCTTGTCTTTGTCACCAATATGTGATTAAAGCTTAATTTACTTTGTATTGAGTGATCGTCTGACTAATTTAAAAGAAATGTTAGAGATAAAAGAAGGAAACAAGATTGAAGAAGGAAAATGTTAGAGACAGAAGAAGGAAGCAGGATTAAAGAAGGAAACCAAATCTCTTTGGGATTAGGTTTAGTATCTTTCCTAGTTTGATTTGGTTTAGTATTTAATATCTTTCCTAGTTTGTTTAATTCTTATTTTAGTAGGAATATGAATTTCCTTGTTTGCTTTACCCTCTTCCTATATAAAGAGGGTTAGATCTTTGTATTCAACAGAAGTTTCATAAGAAAGTAATACAGAAAATTTCCTCCCAAATAAGAGTGCCTGAATGATATTTCCCTTTCAAGAGTGCCTGGAGAAATTTCAGGGACAGACTAACTTGTTTGGAAGCAAGCCAGCTGATTTCCGCGAAGCAATAGAAGAGGCAGTTTTGGCTTGCCAGGGCTGTATGAATGGAAAGTCTGCCAAAAGGGACTATGGATGGTATCAAAGCCTTGATGACCAAGAGGTCACGAGTTCAAAACTCACCGCCACCCAGTTTAAAAAAAATAAGGTTTCACGTGCAAGGCTCAAAGAGGTCACGCTTACACGTGAGGGGGCGTGTTAGAGTATATAATAATCATTCCTGAGCCACAACCACAAGCTTGAGCTTTTGGTTGAATTGGTTCCTTGACATTTACTCGTATAAATTAATTAACATGTTTTATTATATTCTACTAGTAGGTAACCCCGTGCTTCGCACGGGCTGGGGAAATGTGCACGTTTTTTTTTGCTTTTTTTTTGGTTGTGTGTGATTTTTTTAGAGGGTATGTTAGTGTTTTAAAGTGTTGCATTGTTTGAATTGAAAGTTGTTTGGAAGATATGTATTTTGTATAATGATGAAGTCATAGTGGTAGTATAGGATAGTGCGGGGTTGTTTCGTAATTGATGACGTGGTTGTTTTGTAATATGTGTTGTATTTAGTGTTTCGATAGTAATATTATTTTTTGGCCATTGTTTTTTTTGGGGGGGAAAAGGATGACTGAATGTTATGTTAGTATTACTGGTTCATAAAGTAAGTAATTACTCCGTACATGTAATTAGGTAGTTTTAATTTGTTGAATATAATGTAAAAAAAGCAATAACTAAGTAGGATGTACGTTGTTTTTGGTTTTCTTTGTTGGTGTTTTTTTGGTTTTAATATTTATATGTGTAAGACGTTGCATATAGATTAGGAAGGCTCTTCTTTAAAAACCGTAGTTTATTCCACTTGTTTTGTGTGGATGTTAGTCTGCCTTTCAATAGCATTAGTGTAAAATAAAGCTACATTTTTTGAAGTTTCTGATTAGTAAAGGTTTTTAATCAGGTTGTCATTCTTCTATCCACCGGGTTATTGAGATTAAATGCTTCAAGGGGAGGCCTAATAATTTTTTTTATATTAGTTTGGTTTTTTTCTTTGTCGAGTTGTTGGTAATTGATTTCGCGGACGGTTACAAAATAAACCATATTAAGAGTCACGACTCAAGAATTTAAAGAATAGTTATGAGAAAGCGTCTAAGAAGGAATAACTTAAATTAAATTGGTTATTAAGATCTTTATCACCGAGTATGTGTAATTCGACAATCTCGTGAAGTATTGAAATGAAAGTATGATTTTATTACCGATTTATATTCTAACGAAACATTTCAAATTCCAAGAGTACTATGAGTTGGGCAGTTTCTTTATGAGAATGCACATTTATATATAAATATAGAAGTATAATAACCGTCTTAAATTGGAATGAGTTATTATGGTTCGAATTAAGTGTATAGTAATCAGATTGGCTAAGCCCTGTCAGAATCATCTGTGGATGTCATTTTTGGATAATACTCCCTCCGTCCTAAAACTTTCTTCCCAGAGCACTATTCCAACTTCACGGGAATTTATATTTATTTGTGTTTTTTCATGACCTATATGATAAAATAAAATATTCTTGTCACCACTTGTTTTGTTGAACTTTTGATGTAGTTTTTAAATATGTATGTTTTATTTTTTATTTCTATACCAATATTTAAATAAAATAGATTGAAAAAACTTGGGATTTTTCTTCGTTTTGCGAACCGGGAAGAAAGATATAGGACGGAGGGAGTAATTGTTTTAAGGAAATATGACTATTAAAAAAGGAAAATAGTGTGATCCAGTAATATTGCGATATTCTATTGAACATCAAAGTTGATATAGTTAGTTATGGAAATAATAGTCTAAATCATATTTGTAGTATGAAAACAATACACAGTTCTGTTACATGACATGTCGTAGGTAATAAGTTATGTAATTGTTTTTTTCTGAGTCATCTTGTAACCTTCGGTTGTGGTAGAGATTGGGCAGCTGAATTTAAAGATATTGTTGGATAGCATGGTTCTTCACTGTATAATAGGGGAAAAGTGTAGAATTGTTAGAGTAATATTTTGTAAGATTTCAAGGTAATGGTGTTTTGCATATATAGTATGAATGGGTAGTATTACCTGTACTGATAGTATTAGTCACCTGCGTAGGTTGAGGGGTTGGAAGTCCAGGTGCTTCCTAAAAAGCATAAAGTCATATGGGGGTTTGTTAGTTTGTGGTTTTGAGTGAATAATAATTTCATAGGTTTTATATATTATTTCTATTATCCTAAGGAGGTTTTATTAAAAATCAGTTGTAATGTAAAGGTTGTGTTTCATTAAAGGGGGGGTTTTTTTGTAGATAGACGTAGATTGTACCTGATGCATCGGGTATGTTGTTAAACACTTCTTTGTACACTATATTGCGAGTGTGTCGTATATATTCTCCATCTCTTTCTCTTATCATGAATTTGAGTCCATGTGGTTGTGTTACTCGGGAGGCAGCAACATAAAGTTGTCCGTGTGTGAACACCGGGTTTGGCAAGTAAACTCCTACATGTGTTAGTGACTGGCCTTGTCTTCTCTTTAAGACAAATGGGAATTTTGTGTCTTTAGAAGAAATTATTATTCGTGGGATGTCGACATTATTCCCTGTGATTATCTTTGCTCGAACAATATACTGGCCCAGTTTTGTGACTATTAGTCTTGTTCCATTGCAAAGGCCTAACGTTGGGTTGATATTTCTAAGTAATAAAACTGGTGTACCACATTTCAAGGTAAGTAAGTGGTTGGGCATCCCAGGGAAGGTTAATGTATTCAGAAATTCAGTGGGGTATTCAATCTGATGTTCAGCGCTGTCTTGGGAAGCTTTGCATATTTCGTCACTACTCTTATATGTCTTCTCCTCTTTAGTGAGTAACTTGTACATCGTTTGGTTGATATCTTCTGCAGTTGTGTTCAATGGAGTTAATATTGCTCGCTCTTTGAGGTAATTCTCATCATTCCATTTTTCAAGGAAGTTGGGGTATGTGGTTTCTATTAAATGTGAGAGGTGATTGGATGTTGCTGGGATATAGTGCTGTTCTGGAATTTCTATCCACGTGGCCTCGTCCTCCTCTGGAAGGGTCTTGGAAGGTAGTGTTCCATTTCCCATTTTCAACAACCAATTGTTGAAGTGTTTTGCATGCTGATTTTCAATGGAATTTCCTCTGTCCTCTTGGATTCTCATGTTTTTTGTCAGTGTGTAAACGGTGCAGGTTTCCCAGATGTAGGACCGATTTAAAGTAGCTTGTACAATGTCAGGTCGTTTACCTTTCGGTACAACTGGAAGTACCTGACGGAAGTCCCCACCCATGAGCACTGTTTTCCCTCCAAATGGCTTGTTTGTTGCTGACTTGTCCTTAAAAGAGAGAATGTCTTTGAGTGTGCGATCTACTGCTTCAAATGCGAACTTGTTGGCCATTGGAGCTTCATCCCATATTATCAATGAGCAAGCTGTCAGTAGGCCGGCTAGTTGTGATTGTTGCCGTATGGAACATGTTGTGCCGTCAAATAATTCTATCGGGATGTCAAATCTGCTGTGGGCTGTGCGGCCGCCTGGTAAGAGCAGTGATGCAATTCCTAGTATTTTTATAAACTGTTAGTTAAAAAAGGGATGGGTTAATATTTTTTTTTCGTGGTGTTTATAGTGGGTTTGATAGCTTAGTAAACGGTTATACATAGTTGTGTGTGTTTTTGTTGAATGTTGGTTGTTTTTCCTGTTGTTGTTTAATTGTGTGTGAAATTTTTTAAGGGTGTTTGTAATTGTAATGTATGAAGTGACATGGGTTATGTAGGGTGTGGGGTTGGTGTGAGAGGTAATTTGGGCTATTTGTATTAATTTAAGAGTCCGTTTGGTATACGGAATTGACAAAATTAGTATTAAATTGGAATTGAGATTCCATGGGATTCAATTCCATAAAACTCAAAACTATCAATTCCAATTCATTTTTTGCAGTATCAATTCCCAATCTATATAGTTTTTATGCTATGAAACACCAGAATTTAAATTGAAGTCCTCAATTCCAATTCCATAGTTTGAATTCCATATACCAAACAGGGGCTAAGGGATTTGTGTTGGCTAGTATGATTATTATGGTCAACAGGAATGATGTCTGTGTTTTATGAGGAATGAGTAGATTTTTTTGTCATACCTGAAGATGCGCCACTGTTAGGACAATGTTTCTTTGACTTCTGAGCCTGGCAGCTATAGTTGAGTATAAGAATGTCTTTCCGGTGCCTCCATGTCCGTACACGAAGAATACTCCTCCATTACCACTTTGCACTGCATCCACCACCGCGTTGTATACTGTGAGTTGTTCATGGTTCAAGGAGGATTTGCTTTGTTCATGCAAAAGTGTGAGGTGTTTAGTATCATAGCTTAGTTCCTCCCGGATTAGTCTGTTGTCAAAGTGGCTGACCTCTGTCATTTTTGGCTGTGGGAGTGATGGATAATCTGGCAATGATTTTCCAGAGCGGTTTAGTATTTTGTCCAATTCCAACAGAGTGTATGTTTGGATTTGTTCAGCTGAGAGTTCTAGATCTGGATGCCTATATATTTTTCTTCTATTTCGTAGAATATCTTCTTCAAGAGCATGCCTGGTTGTCTCCCATAATTGCCGGGGGTCTGACACTTCACAAAACAGCAAGATTGTTACAAATAGTTCTCTTAACTGTCGTGGTGTTGCCCACTGGTCAGCCTCATGCATTGCATCTATCCATTCTTTGTCGTCATTCAGTAGGCCAAGTGTGTAACATGCTGCCTTGAATGTGGGATGTAGAATGCCATTTATTGTACGAATGTCTTCAAAACATGTTGGACCTTTGCTGTAGTTGAGAAGCAGTCGGAGGTAGAATCGTTCTCCTGCAACGGGGTGGACATATGAAATTCTTCCCACGCAGTTTCCTCGTTTTCGCTTTGTCCATTGTTTTGTCATTTTCCATTTTTGGGCAGCATCATCCCAAATCCTTACTTGGAAATTCTGCATAGGTCAGATGGCGTGCCTCTTCGCATGTTTTGTTAATGTTCATCCACTGTGTGAGCATTGTTTCTTGTGATGTTTCTTCATTTACAGCTTGTACAATGTTCTGGTCATCTGTGAGGGTCAAGAGTTGTTCTCCTGGTAAATGAACATATAGGCACAACACTGGGATACTTCTCTGATGGATATCATATTGAAAGATTCTCCATATTGATTCACATGCAGAGAGGTAGCGACAATCCAAGTATTGTTCGATTTCATTATTTTCTGACGGTGGCTTTTTGCGTCGTTTCTTTTCTTTGATGACCATGGTGGCTCTATCAGGACCTTTGTTTAAATACTTGAATAAGTACTTGATTGCCTTAGATTTGTTGCACCACTCTACATTGATGTGTGCCTCAAAAAGGAGTAGAAGATCAATGTTATAAGGCACCACTGATCGGTTGTCCAGTTCGATTGAGCCCTTCTTGACAATCCTGAGATATTACATTTGGCAGTTTGTTTAAAATATATGGTATCTCAAAACTATATAATACATTACGTAATGGGGTTGGGGGAACTGCAAATTAGGTTTACTTGCCTACCTTTGATTTTCTCTTCTTCTGTATACTGCATATCCTGTCTCGTCGATGGTGGTTTGGTCGTAGAATTGTTTTGGGTATTTTTTAGTGCAGAGGTTTCCTTTCATACATGGTGCTTCTTTTCTGTTATTGCCGCAGGGTCCATGAACCATGAATTTAGACACCACTTCATATGCCTTTGAGTTTGTTTGTTCAGGTATTTCGGCACTAATAATTCTGTCTATGAAGGCCGGGTCGTTGTGCGCTTCTGACTTTGTTAACCACAATAGTATGTGAGCATGTGGTAGGCCACGCTTTTGAAACTCTATTGTGCCAATATCTATGTGGTTTTTAATATGTTAGTTTTCAGTTTAAATTTGTAGTTGTAAGATGTTGTTATGGTAGTGTGTTGGTGTTAATTGAATGACATAGAGTAAAATGATGGTAGTTACCTGCTTGTGTTGGGCCAAAGTGATTCTGTTTAGTGAGGGTATTCATGAACTGTTTCAGTTTCATGTTGAAAACTCGACAAACTATATCTGCCCTGTCTTCTACTCTCTGACCAGGTATATATTCCAGCATTTGTTTAACTTCTGGCCAGTTTGAATTTGCTGTAAAAGTGATAAACAGATCCGGGTTTCCATATTTGCGGCATATTGCCATCGCATCCTGGTAGTTTTGAAACATGTAGCGTGGCCCTCCTGTAAAAGATGACGGCAGTACAGTACGTTTACCTACCGAGGCAGCAATTGTGTCTCCTTTGTTGACAGCATCGCATACATTTCTGTATATATCTGTTCGGAATTTGTCTTGCTTCGAACGAAAGTAGTTTAGACGCTCCTCTTCAATTGCTGTGTATGCATCTACTACATATTGTTGGAATAGTCTCCCACCATATAAATGTGTGGTACCTTCAGTGAGGCGTTGTTGTATGCGATACGCGTAAAATTCACGCATGGTCATGAACCGCCGGGTGACATTCAATCTGGAATTCGGTTTGTATGGTATTTTTTTCATGATAGCCATCTTCCCCATATGGGAAAAGGAGGGGGTATTGCAATGACATGAAACTGGGGTGTCTCTCACTAATGTTCTGTAGTCCTTTTTGTTTGTGTTGTACTATAATATCTCTGCCATCTGTCCCCTGTCCAAAATCTCCAACTATAAGTGCTGCTATTTCAGATGCAGTGGGCGCGTTGTATTGCCTATGTCGTTGTGGTCGGTCTGATAGAAGTTGTATTTGGTAATTTTGCTCCTTGTCTGTTTTTATTCTGTCTCTCGCCATACGGAAAACTTGTGCCAAACAATTTTCCTTGTCTAACATTCGTAGGATGCCTGCGACAATGTCTGGATCTAGTTTAGTTTCTGGTTTTTCTTTTGTCAATGAATTCATCCTGCTCTGTACTTCTGAAGACTGGTCATCATACATGTACAACTGAAGAAATTTATGGGGTTTGTTACTTTGAGGCATGAGTGATCCGATTTGATGGCAATTTTGTCCACTAATACGAAACACGTAGGGTCCTTTTGATTTGTTGATTTCGTTATCGATTTCTGCACCGATGGATGTGAATGCGAACATGGAGTTATAGGCACGGATATTGTCTCTGAATTTCTTTGACCGTTGACCACCACTGTAGTTTAACAGTTCTCGAAGATAATCCGGGGCATGTTTTAGTGGTTCGAGATTGATGCGTCCCTCCATGCAGCACAATGAAAATGTTGGGGGTCTATTTGGATATCTAGAGTTATTGCGTTCTTCTTTCCACATTATAGCATGACAATGGTTGCATCTTTCTGTTGGGCTGGACAAAGTGAGATATTTTGTTTCTCGACCTGCACATGTATGATTTTGTGTGGATTATTGTGTGTAGGCATGTGATAATCCTGATTTGTTACTTTATGAAATACATGCTTACTTCCCTCACAGGTGATGTGGGTTTGTTGTGGTGTTTGGCTTGTACGGGCTGTTGAATTGCGCAGGTTAGAGTAGCAAATGACATATACTGTTAGAAATAAACAATGTATACATGTTTGGTAGTACCTTGTTTTCTTTGGAGGGTGGTGTTTATATGTCTTGTTGAGTTGCTGGGCAGTGTGGTTTGTCTCTTCTGATCCATAATAAGTTTCCGCCGCTTGCGTGCGTCAGTAGCCGTTTGGATACGTTCATGTTGTTCGTTCTCTTCCATCAGTAAAATATGAGGTTTGCATTTGTGTTCTCTGATTGCTTTAGTGTAATATAATGAATTGGTTTATGAGGAATCATTGGTTTGCTAGAGGTAATGTTTGGTTTTCGCTTTGTATTTCAGTTACAAAGTTCAAATTTAATTATTGTTCAATACTATGAATTAAATGTCAATTATAACTTCAAATGAATGCACCAGGTGTTTCAATTTCTGCGATTATTTAGGTATTGAGAAGTTGAATGGCCAGGGTGCCTATGTGATCAACTTAAAGTGGAGTAGCACATTTTCAAACGATCGCTGTTTTAAGGATTTGACTAAAACAAAGTATATATGTTTTCTGCTGTTTCTTGGGAAAATGCACTTACCTTTATAGGGGTAGGAAAACAGGTTTTTGTTAGAGAGTTTATGAAGGCACCTTCAACTCTACCCTGCATATGATAATTATATAAAATGATTGTTAATTAAGTATTGAGTTTTTTTAAATCTTTACCTAATTAGCAATCTCTGAAGTCAGAATAGTCAAATATATAAACCATGTATAAGGTTTAAAACAGGAGGCCATGGCCACGTATTGTGAATTCAGCTGCTAAATTGGAATTCATGACTGCAGCAAATGTGAAACCATTTCATTCGTTCCATAATTACTTGGTAACCATAATTTTTAGGGTGTAAGACACAACTCAGTGTACCTTTTTTATGGCACTCGAGATTGTAGCAGAAAGCAACAAAAAGAAATAAGGTGTAGGCACGTATGGCTACTTGGTAGCAGACATTATTTTAGATGTTGATCATGGTGATATATGAAAAATATATATGTTCATTTATAGGTTACTTAAAGATAGAAACGTAGTAAACATTTATGAATTGCCCATTCTTGTGAGTGAAAATAGTGATCAACACAGGTATGAAGAATGGTACAGGTTTAATAGTAATCCCGAATATCAAAATGATTTATTCAAATCATGAAATGTGCTGAAAACCAAGAGTACATATAGTCTTGACACTTCAATAATATATATATGGTTCTAAACGTGGTGACTAATACCACGTGGGAATTTAAATACTGATAACACACTTAAACTTTATTTGTAGAAACATTATTCCATTATTGCTAGGAAAATTCCTCTGCCTGAGAATGCTGCAGCTGGTTGCTTCAAGGTGTCGGAATAGCAGCATCAGTGTTTTCACTGGGACAAAGTTGAATAAAAAAAGTTCAGAAAACATCATGGATTTCAAATGACATGTTAGATTCATTAAGAGTCATGAAACCTTAAACGCCTCCTTTTATTGGAATTCTCTTCCGTGACTGGTGAACTGGTTGGGATACTTGTAGAGGCATGTTCATGTGTCTACATTAACAGCATAGAATTGTTTTTAGATTTAAGAGACTTCATAGGATTTTATGAAATGTTGTGTTTGAATCATATGGTGTATGTAAACAACAAATAGAATGTATTTAAATGTAATAGCTAACTACCTCTTTATTTTCCATTGGGCCAAGTATAGATTCATTGTATACTTTAGATGCACCGAAGCTCTGCGTATATGCTGTTCTGTTGTATTCAGTGAGTCTGACATGAAACACATACGTCTGTCCAATGAGATTTCCAATCAATGCAGGTAATTGGCCTTGTGAATCTTCATCCTGTGAAGTTTTATATGTATAACTATTAGTTGAATGTGAGGATGCAAGTACATTTGATAATAGCAATTTATATTTGAATTGTAATCAAAATGCTCTATATTTGATATTAATACCTCATTTTTATCTTCCATATCATACAGGCTAATAGCAGATTGGCCAATTAGCTTCTCAGCTTCCTCATCAAAGATAACAAATTTTGTAACCTCGGTTTTATCTTTAACCATAGCTTCAAGTCGATACCTGTGTTTTCGCATGAGAATATACATCATTAGCAAAAAAAACTTTAAAATGGATAATCTGTAATTGAGTTATACATTTTTTTTCACTTTGTTAATTTCCTAAAAGTATTTATGCTTGAATACCATACCTGGGTACGGCGTCATCAACTAATCTTGTTTTTTTTTGCACCAAAACTTTGTTCCACTTGGCTTAACTATTCCCTTGCATTCTCCGCATGAGTTATAATACCAACCATTCTTGTTGCTTATGTCTTCTATGATTGCATGGCAGTAATATTGTGCACCCTAAAGTTTTTTCAAATTTTCGGGTACATTTAAACCACAAAATTAGTTGAGGGAAAAATAATCTGTGAACACATCTCAATAATAAAACATCATCTGCTTACAGTTTTAAAGTCGCCTGACGCAATATTCAAAATCTCAGCGATGGTCTTCAACCCAGAAAGAACTGTGTCACGATCTACAACTGGTTTGTGGACCAATAGGGGTTTCATTTGGAACTGGTCACTGGTTTTATAAAACAGTTAAAAAAAACTTATGTTATTATAATTTCAATAATTTATTCAATCAAGTACAAAGGGCAGACTGGCAGACTACCACTTCATTTAAGCACACATGCATACCAAAAAGTTTAGAATACCTATACTTATTTTTAAGTGCAGCAACTTCGTCAATGCTGACGTCTAAGAACACCTTAGTTGCAGTTGTTGAAGACAATGTAGTGGCCTCTGCATTGACAATTAGTAATAACACATATATCAATAGAAACAAATCCACACATACATCATTATCGAATTGCAACTTACTCATATATTCTTTCACCAGATTCGATGTGAACACCCCAACGATTACAGATCCCAGAAGTGGAGCTTTTTGGGTAGTATAATCATCAACACTTTTTCCCCAAAGTGTTATTCTCATTTTTGCACCTCTAAACAATTATAAAAATAAGGAATTGAGTCATTACTCCAGATTACTAAGGTAGTTATTAACAACAAAAAAACAGCGAGTATTTAAATATTAAAAACAAACCGCAAATCCTGCAATTCTAGCATGAGACTTTTCACAGTATGGTCATACACGTTCTTATTGATCACATCTCCCTCACTGCAAACTTGTCCCACAACATCTATACAAAGAAATAGACATTTTTTTTGCAATCACCACAGGGGCAAATTAAATGTATTAAAGAATGTAAAGAATAGGGATCATGTGTTTCAAATGAAAAACCTGTAAGGATGTAGTCTAGGCCTTTTCTCATTGGAACTTTATCAAAATCTAATAAATCAAAACGGTGCATTGCAATGTTAGGCAATTGACCACGTGCAGGCTTAACAGTTGACTCTGAATTAATCTGAATCATGTGTTTGTTATCTCCCACTACACGAAAACGGGTTCTGTTTTCAAGGATTTCAAAATTGGCAATAGAATATATTTGACCCTCAACAATCACATCACGAAACAAATGGACTGAATTGCCTTTGATGCTGCCATGGATATATGATCCCTAATGCACAAAAACAAAAGGTTATTTCAATTTTAAAAATGGAAAATTGATTACGGAACAATCACTATGAAACCCTAATTTATGGGCAAGCTACCTCCTGATCAATCAAAACCATGTGAGTACTAAGAAGTTCTGTATTGTTCTTCAGGTTGTAGGCGTCCCAAAGTCTGGAAACCCGCACCAAAATTGCAGAATTTCCGAGAGGTTGGGAAAGTTTCTGAAGTGGAACATAACTAACACTCTTTTCACTTCGAATAGCTCTAGTCAGAGACATACTGATAGAAGGGTACTTCTCACAGATAATGCAAATAGCTCTTAAAAATTTGTAGGTGATGCTGGTATGGATAGATACACATATATATATATACGGCTGAATTGAACTAATAGACCACTCCCTCCTATTTAATTTTTATCATTACACATCCTCATAATTGATAGGGACCTCAAACAATTTCCGTTTCACCTCTAACCTATTATGAATACCGCGAATTCAATACTTAATGAATTAAAGTCACCTGTTGCAGGCAACCGAAAAGCCTTTTGAGAAGGCTTACCGGCGAAGATGTTTTGAGAATGCTTCACTGCAGGTCCTACCGGCGGTAGCACGGCTGAAAGTAACAGGCGTCCCTTCACGGAGAAGATGTAACCGGCATACCTTCCTAATAGTGTAATTTACTACGGAGTAAAAGCAAAGTAATGTGAAAAAATCAAACACGCCTTGGCCAAGTAGGAGTACACGTCAGGCGCGAAAAATTAAACATGCCACATAGGACGCCACGTTGGAGGACACATGTCGAATCAACACTTAAAATTAAACACGCCACATAGGACGCCACGTTGGAGGACACATGTCGAATCAACACTTAAAACGCTCTACTTTATATATATAATATAATATATATATATATATGATGATGTCTTGATGAGCTGGTCAAATTTAATTTCTAGGTTAACTTTTGGCTCGAACGATAGATTGGCTTAGTTCGAAAATATATTACGTGTTTGGAACAATAAGAAATTACAATAATTAATGAAGAGGAGATTAAGGAGACAGAGGTTCAATAATATTCAAATCATTTTTTCATCCATATTCTCTTCATATAATTTATTTTCAAATACTCTCTCCATCCCCATTTTGATAACATTTTTTTTCTCTCTCTCCTTTCGATAACTTTTGTTTATTAACGCAATTTTATTAAATATTTGATAAAATAAAATATTCTTGTCACCTCTTGTTTTGTAGAATTTTTGACGTAGTATTTTTATATGTAATTTTTATTTTTTATTGATATACCAATTTGTAAATAAAATTATTTCAAAAAGGAGAAATTTTTTCACGTAAACCCCAATTTATAATCAAATTGGGGACGGAGGTAGTATGTTATTTTTTAAAATAGATACGTACAACCCATTTCATCCGTTTAATTGATTATTTATGTGTCCTAGTTTATTTTATTTTATTATTTATTTTAAATAAAAATAAATGAGAAATATTAAATTAAGTATTTAGAAATTATATGAATTTATATTTAGAAGAATAAATTTTAGAAGAAAATTACAATAGAATTTTAATTAAAATAAAATATTTAAATATTTTGAAATTAAATATTAAAAATTAAATGTTTTAATTAAAAAAATTAAATATTTTGGAAGTAAATATTAAAAATTAATTTTTTTAATGAAATAAAATAATTAAATAATTTGAAAATAATATTACAAATTTAGTATTTGAAATAAATATAATACTCTGTAAATATTAAATTAATAAGCCCCACATTTAAATGCATCCAGTAGAATGGATGTTTAACACTTAAATCCTCTCTCCCCATTTAATCAATAGAGTGTATTAAATGACATCTTTCGTCGAGCCATTTTTCATCCATCCATTATTTTAAACGTCTTTTAAATACTCCCTCCGTCCCCATTTTGATTACAATATTCCTTCTTCTATTTGTACCAAAATAGATTATAAATTTCTATTTTACCATGTATTTGTCCAAAATACCCCTCATAATAATATCCACCCATTTGTCCCCCCTTATCTTCTCGAAATCCCATCCGCCCTCATTCCTCTTCATCTTCTGTGATTCCTCTTCACCTTCCTATGTCTTCTCCATGGACTCCAGATCCGTTCATGCCTACTTTCCATCTGTTGTCACAAGAATCACCTTTAAGATCTAGATCTAGATCTAGATCTCCTCCCATCTCCGAATATAAAAACACCTGCGTGGTTCCCTTTGAATCACCTTCGTACACGTCTGAAATAGACCCTACCTAGAGATTTAGAAAGAAATACAACTGCTTGGTTGTAGAAGATACAGAATTGGGATTTTCGAGCGAAGAAGGGGAAGAGGTAACCTCTGTGTATGACCCGACAAAAATGACATGCATGGATTATTTTTTCATGGATAATCCTCCAAAAAGACCTTCTTGGCTGGAATCATGTGGTATGAATTCTCCTTTTATTTATTTAATGCGAATCGAGGCTGGTGGTAAGTTTTTTTGAAACTGATGATGATATGGGGGTTATGCTTCAAAATCCTGAACTGTGATAAAAGAATGCCATGTTAATTTGACCTTTACCATTGTGGTGTAGCTAGGAACGTTTTGATTGATCTGTGATAGCCCTTGTTTGTTTCCACCTCTGTTTGGGAGGATGCGTAAGAACTATGATGCTCCCCGATGTGCTGGTCCCTGTCTCATTATGTATCTTCTGTGTTTTTGCTGAGTTCTTTGGTAGTAGATGTCCCTGGTCCCTGTCCCATTACGTATTTAAGTGGGTCTGGTTTATGATGCAAAATACTTTGCTTTTCCTGAGATCCCCATTTCTCACTTATCATGTGCTATGCTATGCAAAATGTTATTCACTCTGCCCTGAGGTCTACCACAGGCACGGTTGTTTGTGTTTTGGCCCTGAGGTATAAGGTGACTACTTTCTGTTAAAATGAGATAAATTATGACACTAATTGAAGTCTCTCTCTCCCCCCATTTTGATTACAATATTCCCTGAGGGATGAATCCTACAAGTATTACTCCTTCAGGTCCTAATTTGATCACAATATATTCTGAGGTATAAGGTGTCCCTTGTTTAGTATAGATCCTGAGATCAATGATGACATATTTTCTGAGATCTATGATGGACTATTACAAAACTTGTGTTTGATGCTTCTGTGTGTGATGGCTAGCATTAAGATTGCATAACATACATTCAAAACATACATTTTACATTGCTACACTTTAGTAAAGTGTTATTGTACATGTGCAAACACTATGTATGGGGATGGAGTTATAAAGTATCCTAGCCCCTGTTTGTGATGTACATACATAAATCCCACACCCAAAACCCCAAAAAGCAAAAAAGTGAAAATGGACAGTACACTTAAATAGGTACATGTCCCCACAGCATTTGCACACAAGTACCAAAAAAAAGGATACAACTTGCTGTTTCATACACCACCTTGTGATGCTATGAAATTGTGAGTAGCCTCAACATCATCCATGGTAACTTGAATGTTATCTGGTAACTGATCCAGCCTCTTTCATGTTATCTGGAGTATCACCAATGGAGATGCTCTTATCCAAATTAACCTACTACTCCGTATTATGGATTTATGGTACCTACTGAATTTTTATTTATATGTCTTTTTTAATTATTTTAAGTTGTTTCTTGTTTTGTAAATTTTTTTTATATAATTTTAAAATACTTGCTTTGTATTTTTATTTTTATACTATGTATCACTTTGTAAATAAAATCACATTAAAAGAAATGAAACTTTGCAAGTATTTTGACGATGAAATTTATTTTGGGACCTTCTCTAGTTTGCTCCTTGTTTTTAGAATGGTAAAAAAACTAAAGTAGGAGTAAAACATTGAAAAATATATCAAAATAAAAATTCTATGTTTTAGTTTCCGAAATAAGATTTAAAATGTATTTACATTATCAATCATGACCATGTACATTACCAAAAAGTATAATAAAATGCCACATTATCACAGTGTAAAGTCTATTTAGAAAATAAAAACACGGAACTCCTATTTTGATGCTTTCTCTATGTTTTATTTCTGTTAAGGATGATTTCTTTTTTAAAAGGAAAAAAGATTAAAGTAGAATTAAAACATTAAAAATATATTGAAATAACTAGCTAAACAGTTTTTTAAGAGTATACTCGTTTTGGTCCTCTAAGTAGACTTGCAAGTTAATTTTATTTCTGTATACAGAGTATTATATAAACTTAAATTAGTTATATAACTAGACAATGTGAATCAAGTTATTACCACTAACGAAATTTATCTTGATAATGTTATTGAAACACAAAATCGTGATATTATTTGAAACACGAGATGTCTAGGTTGTTGAATCAATTAATACGTTAACTTAGGGTTTCATTAACGCAATAAAAATATATTTCATTAGATCTACTAAGAGTTTATCTTTTTCGTCTGATGTGGTCTAAATCAATTAAGGTCCAATCTCATGATTAATTTGGTTCGATCTATCTTCTTTAATGTGATCTAAATATCTCCTGTCTGGTGAGATTCTAATCTAGAGACGAATGTAGTTGGCTATGAGTCAACAAAAGTTGACTGGGTTTTGCACTAACTGTAAGAAGATTGTCTGGGTTTTACAGTAACTGTGGGATTGATTGATTCAGATGACACCAGCCTAGGGCTTATAGCCAAACATATTTTACCATTTGCAACATTAGAGGGAGCAATATACAAGTTTTAACAATACCATGCAATGCAAACTATTTGTTGCTCATCTAGCTGACATAACACTCTCTAGAATTACCTTCTTCATCAGAATATCCATAGACATTGGCATCCCCTGGTGGGGCCCCTCCTCCAACATCTTCGTCGTCGTCGCTCGCATCAGTGTCCCCATCATGCGGCCCCTCCCTAGAACCAAAGGCTTCCCACCCTTGCCTCCTATGCAAACGCAAGAGGTGCCTTATCAGATCCATATCAGGGGTCACTCGCATCAGTCTGGCCTGTGAATGGGCCTCTCTGCCTCGCTGATTGTTGTCCAATATCTGATGAGAAAACAAACAGGCTATACACAATTCATACGCCAAAAAGAAGAAAAAAATGACGATCAAGGAGACGCTGACGTGGCATTTTGAAAACTGCACTTATGGTTCCACATTTATCTGGCACTTTGGCGGCAATTGGTGGCCTCATCTCACTTTTCTGTTTATGAAGATACAAGCAGAACATGTAGCTCTTGATCTGGGGTTGTTCAGGATGACTTTTGGAATATTCCAAATTAAAGCAGTAGTTTTCCGCTTTTATTGAAATGAAAATCATTTCACTTTATCAGAAAACATTGTTGTGTTGTTTATCAGAAATCAAGCTATAAGAACAAAATGTTTTTTTTAAAAATACAAAAGTGCTTATTTGGGAAACTGCTTTTATCAACCTCAAAGCACCAATTTATGTTGAAATAGTGAAATGGATGTTATACCAAACATGCCCTCTATGTAATCTTTGGATTGTTTTTGAAATTTTAGTAAATTTAATCTACCAATTGCTATACTCGAGCTACTAGTCCCTCTTGTTAAAACGACTGTTTAGTACAGAGTAATAATGTTTATGGGGGCATTCTCGACAATATAACATACAGAGAATGCCACATAACTCCACTACTACTCGATGATGCAAACAGTAATTTTAACGGGGTGGCTCAATTTTCCCTAAAGTAGCACAATTGAAAGATCACATTTACAAAAAAATTAAAATAAAAGACGTGTTCGAGAAAACATAATGCCAAACAATGGGAAACTCTATTAGTGCAATTATCACCAAGTGTTATGAAGAAAATAGTGCTAATATTTTTACCTCATCAAAATCAGGAGGCAAAGGAGTGATGTCCTTGGACGAGGGTGCCCAGAGCTTAATAGTGTTTTCAAAGCCAGAGGTGGCAAGTAGAGGAATATGGGGATGGGACTCAAGCTGATTTACTATATCATTATCGCCCTTCATCACACGGACAAGCCCAGCGCTCTTCTTCTTCCACATGAATATGTGACCACAGTCAGATCCACTCGTAACATATTCATCATTTGGGCCAAAGAAACTAACTCCTTTGACAGTTTGGAAATTCCTATGCCCCCGGTAAGCCCGAGGCTCTTCCAGCTTACCTACATCTTCTTGTGATAACAACAAAGGGTTGGGACCCAACCCGGTGTTCTTCTGGAACAGATAGATCAATTCATCGTTGTAGGAGACGAGCAATTCACTTGTGTTGGAGTAAGCCAATGACGTGATGGTAATATCCTTTGTGTCAATAAGATGATGAGGGCAAAACGCATCTACAGGTGAATTGGTCTTAGGATCCGATGGGTTTTTTCGGATGTCGTATACGCGGGCAAATTCATCCGCACCTCCCACAGCAAAATAATTGGGGTTACGCGGGTCAATAACAATAGCATTCAACCGTATGTCCCATGGGGAATGTGCGTTGTTCCTCACAAACGTTGAGCAACACAGTAGCTTTTTGACAGAACTGCTTCGTAGATCGTACTACACATTACAAAAGTAAGGACTCGATTATTGTCAAATTGGGTCTAACTTGACCCAAAAGGTGTGGGTGAGATTTGCTACATGCTTATATACTAAACACACACCCAATGGACAACCAGTGTTCGATACTCAACACACGCTTTTAGCTTTAATCCAAGTTGGTCAACTGAAAATGTGGAAAAACTGGCCTAAATCGGCCCCAAACCATCAAGTGTGTCGAGCCAGACAACTGAAGGGCTGGACAACAAACCCCCATAATTAAGCCAAACTGGATGACTGAAGGGGTCAACAGATGGGCTCAAACAGACCCCAAATGGCCTGCCCAGAGCCCAACACCATCAAGTGGACAAATTCCCAAGAAGAGTATCACAACAAGCTACGATACCATGTTAAGTCTAACTCACCCCAATAGAGTCCTCAAAAGTTGAGTTTTATCTCACACTTATATGCTAGACTTAAATCCATTAGACAACCAATGTGGAATACTCAACAATATATTGAAGCCTGAAAAATTCCAAGAGTAAGAAACAAAAAATAAGTGGTGACGTACATGTTGAACAAAGCCATCTTCACCACAACTGTATAATATATGTGGGCTGCCAGGTTCTACAGCAAGACTGTGTACTCGAAGTATATGCTCTCCTAGCATCTCTGTGTTGACATCACCATTCTCCAGCACATGACCAATCCTAACCTGTAGTATGAAGATTTATTTGCAAAAGCACCAACAGAACACCTGGATACTCTACTACCAGCAGGGAGTGGCGATCACATGGTCAAGATCAACTCACAACTCGATCGAAAGGATGGAGATTCATGGTGGAGTAGTCAAAATTGTGTGATCAGCCACAACACTGCCTAAGCACAACAAGGGACCCAAGTCTCCAACTACTAGGGAGAAGTTCTAATGAAGAAAACAGACAGTTCCCTAAAACCAGAAGCAATCAAATCCATTTGCATACCTAATTGATTCTAATTAGTGACAGTAACCTAGAAGAGGTATATACTGTTTTGTAACTGTTAACGGAAAAAAAAAGAAATGCCTATAAACTATGAAGCAGTAGTTTAAAATCCAAATATTGTAACATTTCATCCTTTGAGTTGAAGCCATAAGGACAATTATATGGAGACAAGTCTCCAACTATGGATACTAAATCTCTGATATGGCACACATTTACTGGTTTATTTTCATGGCAACCACGTAGATTATAGGGCAGGCCACATGAAAGACTTAGTTCCCATAGCTGGAGAAATTACCAGACTCCATAGAATTCGATTGCCCACAGCACACAAGCAATAGGCTATTTTATCCTACATCAACAAGGAAGTAGAAAACCACTGCATTCGTCGGTCAATCTTATGTAAAACATAGTACAGGATTGCAACAAAGACAGCAGATATAGCAGCATTGTACAATATACTATGAGGGGAAAGCAATAAAATCAGAATGTATGGAATTACAAATAATAAAGTTATTTTCTGTGACTACGACTTCCATCCTTATTTAACATCCTTTATTTATGGCTTTGAATCTAAGAAACCCCACCAGCTTTATTGAACAGCAATCAGCCTATCAGCAGCTTTCACACCTTTTTTATTTTTTTCAATTCATCAACATTCCATTAGATTTCATCTTGTTTATCCCATATGCAGCTTATCAGAAATAAGTTTCTATTATAAGTTCCGGGTTAGCAGGTCCATGAAAAAGAAATGCACATTATTATACTTAATTAAAAGAGTCTTTTCATCTTTATAGTGATTGGATTAGTTTATTCTTTATGGAGTACATAAGTTTTGATAAGCTCTAATCCAAACTAGTTTTAAAATCATGAAGGTATGAGATAGCACATAGCTGCATTACCTGGCCATCGGCAGACGAAGTGACTATTTTACGATCATCAGAGAATGGCATGAACTTGGCCTGGAATATATTATCGAAGTGGCCTGACGGATATGATAATTTTGATGTATTTCTTGCCCAGTCCCACAAAATTACTTGTTTGTCATCAGAGCCAGACACCAGAATATCACCGGTGGAGTTGAAACTGATAGTGTTAACACATCCCTGATGACCTTCTAATTCTCCACTCAGATCAAGTTGCTTCACCACAGTCTGCATCAATGGAAAAAACAGCAATAACCTAGTAAGGTTCCACAAGTGGTGAAGTGGGAACCCTACCTAAAAAGGTAAAGGCTATTTACGGAAGGCCCTCGGCTACAGAAAACATAAAAGCAGGTTAAAACAATCAAATATTAGAAGATGAAAAGTATAGTAAAACAACTATTGAATAAGGGAAGAGTAAATAACACAACACAAGTAACAAACCCTTATAAGGCATTCCTCTTTACCTAACTTGTCTAACCTAATCTTAACCTTCGACCTCCAAAGCCCTCTATTTAGGGACATGTCCTTGGTGAGCTGCACAAACAACAAGTCTCCTAATCACCTAACCTCAAAAATAGAGATACAATTTTGAGCCACTTCACCAAATCAACCATTTCTTCCAATGTTGAAAAACTTCCATTAGACACACTTACACATTATGATTTTCTAAAGCAATACACAGCAATTGAATGTTTATGATCATTAAATCAATACTTGATCCATAACTAGACTGACAAGTGACAACCCAGTGAGTGCAGCATTTGTCAAAATAGAAGAAACATTTCAACAAACAATTTAGCACAAGACATCATATCCCTGTAATATAAAACAATTAATGCTCTTATGCGAGTAAAGGGTTCCCAAACTCATCCAGGATTACTTAGAAATGATTCATAACAAGGTGAAGGTGAGCAAGGTGACCAAGAAAACTTCGAAATGATTCATAGCATCGAACACTTAACAAAACTTGCGATCCAGAGCAAATTCAGTTCAGAAAAGGAAAACCTTCCAGGTTTTTTGATACAATTACCCCAAGATATATAGCTTTTCAGCTTGATCAAGTAAAAGTACAGAGCAGAAACACAATCGCAATCACGATTAGAGCAATTGCATAAATTCCAGAAAAAGAGAGGAGCAGGATATGAAAATCAAGGGGTGAAAAGATGAACAACAGACCTCGGAGGCAGCGATTCGGCGAGAGAAAGCCCTGGAGACGGATAAACCGATCTCTCTCTTCGAAAATTCTATGAATTTATCAACTTTAGATTTAGAAGCGCTGCAAAGCTTTTTCATCCTCTATCTGTTGAGATTATGTTCGCCAAATAGTATGAGCAATCAGAGTGTAGCGACTTGCGAGCGCATGGCAGAAGAACTCAAATGGAGAGTGATCGTCACCAGCTTGACGCCGGTTAACTCTGTACACGATAAAATCTAATGAACCGCTAAGTCTAATACTGGAAAGTATTTGTCCACACTTTTTTTTTGTCAAAGTTAGTAAATTTTGATCTCAAGTTAAGTAAAAATGATATTATATATCGATATAAAAATAATTTTATTATATTTATTACACAAATGATAAAAATGATATCAAATATTTTCAAAATATTATTTATCTAATTAATATATACGGAGTAATATATATTTTGTTTAGTTATAGGTCGAGGTTGAAATAGTTCACCGAAAAAGGTCAAAATTGAACAAATACTCAATGATGGATACAGTATTCATTTTGAAGACGTAGTGTTTGTTCCAAATATGCTCAATTTAGTATGTGTTCATTCTAAATAACATGAAATCTGTTCTTTGAAATTTAAACTCTTAAGTTTCAATATTTTTTGATTTCTTCTTTTACAGTTTTTTCTAGTTCTAGTTTCTTTCCCACATCTTCTAATTTTTTTAGTTTCTTCCAATTTCTTCAACTTTTTTCAACCATTCCCATTTTCTTTAGGCTCCGTTTGAAACACAAAAATTAAAATTGAAATTCTATTGAATTGAATAGAATTAAATTATAATTCAATTCCAAATCCTTTGTTTGGTATAAATAAGGAATTGATATAAAATTGTATTATAATTTCCAATTCCTTGTTTGGTAACACAAAATTACAAATAGAATTGATATAGAATTGTATTTTGAGATTTTTCGCAGTAGAGTAATTCAAAGCAAAATCCCAGCTCTTTTCAAACCTCATTCAAACCTTAATTGTGTTAGCGGGATGTTAAAATTTGAGATTGAAAATTGAAATTAAACATTAAAAATTAAAATCTAAAAACTTAAAACTTAAAATCTAAAATTAAAAATTTAAAAATTAGAATTTATAGTTTAAATTTTAAATTTTAAATTTAAACTTTAAATTCTAATTTTTAATTTTAGATTTTAAGTTTTAAATTTTAAATAAATTTAAAATTTAAAATTTAAACTTTAAATTCTAATTTTTAAATTTTTAATTTTAATTTTTAATTCATAAGACTTGTTTGTTTGTTATAACTCAGAAAAGATCTGCATGATTTAATTTTGACGCATAGAATTCAAATTCTGAATTTTCAATTTTTTTCTGGTACTAGGGAATTCAAAATGTGGAATTGGAAGTATCGGAATTAGAATTCAATTCCAATTCCTCATATTTTTGTGCTACCAAAGAGAAGAATAGTAATTAGAGTCTTCAATTCCAATTTCTTAGCTTAAATTCCATGTATCAAACGGGGTCTTAATCTTTTTCTACTTCCAAATAATGACTCTAAAAATGATGTTAACTTGATGAATAATGTTAGCCCCTCCGTCCTAAAACGTTCTTTCTAGTTACTATTCAAACGGTCAAACTTTAATCACTTTCTTTACCTATTTTTGTTAGTTATTTGATAAAACAATACAGTATAGAATTGCTACCTCTTGTTTTGTAGAACTTTTGATATGATTTTTAAATATATAAAATTTATTTTTTAATTTTACACCTACAATTAAATAAATTTAATTCAAGACGGAAGGAGTTGTTGTAAAAGAAATTACCCAAAAAATGAGTAAAACATGAAGAAAGTGTCAAAATAGGAGTTTAATGTTTTTATTCTCTAAATAAGAGTTCACACTTACTAATGTGACGTTGTACATGAGCATTTTACTATATCTTTTGATAATTTACATGGTCATGATTGGTAATATAAATACATTTTAACTCCTATTTTGAGAATAAAAATATTGCCATAGTTTTATTTTTCTGGTGAAACTGTAGCACCATTTAATCGTAAATTATGAAAAATATATATTTAGTTATAATGTAAATTTAGTAAAATTAGATTATTTTAGAATGTAGTTTTAAAATTTTATAACATTTAATTACTTTAAACTACATTTAATTCGTGATAAAATACAATTTAACTAAAAAAGTTAAACTGCTACAATCTTTTAAGGACTGATTAAGTATTACTCTATATATAAGAGCATAACATTCCTTTTGTCCCTTTTTTATCTTCCCATTTTCTTTTTTTGGATGTCTTTAATTATTTTTTTTAAAGTAATGCTAGAGTCACAAACAAAACACTCACGAAATGAACAAACATACCATTTGTGTATTTTAGTTTTTTTAATTATTTAAGACCATTATTACAATCCAATACTTTACATATTCGGTAAGTTTGTGAATTTTGTGAATATGCTATTTGTGACTCTAACAATACTCTTTTTTCCCCATAAATTGAATACTTCGTTGGAGTGGATTGGAAGCGGGAAGTGAAAATATTGACAATTCCACCCCCACCCCCACTCCCCCCACCCCCACCCCCACCCCCACTTCCGTTACCAAATCAAGGGAGGGGCATTTTCCCTACGGCCCCTATTGTGTTTTGGAGACGTTGCATAACTTGCATTGCACGCAATGTGGCAGGACCAATTTGCCCCACGCGCGCACACAATCAAAAACATCCCAAGAAAGCATAGTACGGAGTGCTCCGTATTTGTTTAAGAACAAAGATTTCACATTTGGTATTTCTAAAAAAAAAAAATAATAGGAAAAACAGTTCCCAGCTTCTCATCAGTCCATGCAATGCCATGGGGGAATGGAGTAATCAAAACTTCTTTCTCCTCTTTTTAATTTTGTTGTTAAAAAATAGAGAGCAAAAAGAATCATAGGTGAAGGTACATGGTATAAAGAATCCCCTCTTTACAAACTATTGAAGAAGAAAAAAGATGTACAAAATATTGTTTATATTCGGGAACGGCTCTACGAGCCGAAGTGGGAGTTACTCCGAAATGAGATTCGCGGCTATATATGGAAACCGTTTATAGTATCTCCAGATTATATTCTCTATAGCGAATGGAAGCGGTCAGCCAAAAATGGGATCATGTAGAAATTCTTCACCCTAGCTTTCATTGCACAATGGTAGACTCAATCTTGTTCTTCCTATCCGTATCTTCACCGTGAATTCCAAAAGAAAAAAAAGTGGGTAAGACATGCGTACACTGGTAACTAGTCATCATCGTCCGCAAACGAGAGCAAGGAGAATGGCCTGAACTTGTAGCCGTCGCCGTGATAAAACTTGTTCTGAAATTCGACCCAGTGGAGACGCAGTGCATGAAGAAAAGCACTGAGCGTCTCCATCATGAGTAGTATAAATGTTGTTGCGAAGGCAAAAACCGCCAACCCCACCAGTCGTATGAAGATGTTATCGTACCTGCAAAACCACATCTCTCATGGCAATCAAATAGAGGGGATACCATTAACTGTTATGTTTATGGGTGCGAAAAAAAAAATGCATCTAAACGTTCACTGATTAAATTATACTCACTCCATTCGATTAAATTTGGGAGAAATGAGAGAAGAAATCCATGAAAAAGTAGAATTGTGTCGTAAAAACCTCAA